AACTAAAAATCGGGCCTGCATACTGTAGGCGAGCGAAATTTTCAGCATTTCATCCTCTTTATAATGAACTATTATTCAAAATTGTATCTTAACACAAAGGTGTATTAGAGAGTCGGAAAGGAAAAAAAAATAGTTTCGAAAACCAGATGAAAACGAGTTTTGTTGAACATATGGATTAAATATTTTAGAAACTAAAAATCGGGCCTGCATACTGTAAGCGAGCGAAATTTTCAGAATTTCATCTTCTTTATAATGAGCTATTATTCAACATTTTATCTTAACACAAAGGTGTATTAGAGAGTCGGAAAGGAAAAAAAATAGTTTCGAAAACCAGATGAAAACGAGTTTTGTTGAACATATGAATTAAATATTTCAGAAACTAAAAATCGGGCTTGCATACTGTAGGCGAACGAAATTTTCAGAATTTCATCTTCTTTGTAAAGAGCCATAATTCAAAGTTGTATTTTGACGTGACGCCTAAAAGTTGTATTTTAGACAGGCGGAAAGGGAAAAAGCTAGGGGCTAGGAAAACAAACACGAACGCTTGTTTTGAACATTTGGACTAAAATATCTCAAAATTTAAATACCATGAAGAAATCATAAACCAATTTGCAGAAGTAAATATAGATATATATTTTTTTAATTAGTCGTACAAATAAGAAATAGTGTTTCGGCAATGGTCCTTAAAATTTTAAACACAAATAATTGTATATATTATGAAGAGAAAATAATCCTATGTTGTCTCAGAATTGGTCACGATGAATTTTCGCAGGGCTTCCTTATCCAAATTCGAGAACCACTTACCTGCGTAAGATGCGGTTCCCCTAGAAATGTGAACCACATACTCGTGGACTGTAAATACTATGCAGCCACGAGGAAGAACATTAACAAGCACAGAACTGTCCAAGAAATGTTATAGGATTCGGGGAGAGATGTGGAAATCCTGAAGAACATCTTGAAAAATAAGGGATTCTACAATCAAAACTTTGAACGAAGAAAGAACAGCCAATAACGCTTACGGGGAGAGGAAAATTCAGTAAATAAATAAATTTTATATATTGTAAATTTTATTACATTGTGAACATAAAACATAAAAAATATTTACATTTCTTGTTATTAATTCCCCCACGTCGATGTTTTCACTCTTGTGGTCTTAAGCACACACCGTGTTGTTGTTTTTTTAAGAATAACTCGTAACTCTAAATCTATACAATCCTTGCAATATTTGAGATTTTATTTTGTGATAATACTAAATTGTCTATAAATTTAGACAGATTTGTTTTTAATTTGCTCCTTATGTTAGGACAAAATCGCCTGATCGGACATTTTTTTTTTTAATTTAATGTTATTTAATTTTTTCAAAGGTATATAAATGGTTAACTTTCTTCTGAGAGATGAAATATGTAAAACTACCTTCGCAAATGGATGACTAAAATCAATAGCTGAGAAATGGGTTGGATCTGTCCCACAAATCAGCTTGCTCCTTTGCTTTCTCCTTGAGGGTTGTTGAGTTGACACCGGTCCAAATTGGTCAATTAGTTGCAGTACGTTTCGGGAATCATAATAATATCTTCAGCGTTTCCCTCGGCCGCCACAGAGAAAGCGAGAATCCGCCGTAATCACCCAATATGTTCCAAATCAGATTAAATATTTCCCAAATTGATATTTAAGAATACCAGGGTTGTCTACCGGACCTAGAAAACCTAGACAAATCAGAGATTTTGAAAAACAAAAAGTAGGAACTTTATGAGCTAATGGACGCTATCGCGAATTCGCCTTTAAGTCTAGTCCATATAGAAAAAAAATATGGATGATTTTATTTTAGCCATAAATGTTGATTGTCCCAGTTTTTCGAGTAATTGAACAAAATCTGAGGTTTTCTGACAGAAATTTAACCGACAACTAGTAATTTTTTCTAGTGTTCAAGCTTTATCCAAAAATATTTTGTTCTTTTTTCGAAAAGTATTCAACATTGTCACCATAATAAAAAAATTTCTAAATCATATGCCTATTAAATTTTTATCAAAGATCAACTATTAAGGAGTAATAACACACTTTACATTCAATTTCCGTAGGAACTGCCAATGTAGATTTCTATTGCTATCAAACTTAATTGAATATACAAAAATATACTGTGGCTCAATCTGGTTAAATAAAAATAGAAGTAGAAAAGAAAATACATGTTTCTAATATATTTTATGTAACAATACTTGTGAATATGAGATATTCTTTGTTTAGATATAGAGATTGAATATAAGTATTCGGTATATAATACAATATATATAAGAAGCAAACGGTCTCTAAATCCTCAATGAAAAATTACTAAATGTTTAAAGCATTATATCTCTGCACCTAATCGTCCGATTTTAGTGATTTTTTTTATTTTCAGGGAAGCAAGAAAGCAAAGATGGGTATAATTGAACAAAAATTGTGTACTTTTTGAGTTATTTACAAATATAGTTTTGAACCCATCATAGATTTTTTCATACTCTTTTCAGGGAATGACGTTATATATATAAATTAAAAGGGCTTCAAGGATAAGACTTTAGCCAAGTTTAATTAAAATCGTTACAGCCGCTTAGGCGCTACAGTCTATAGCGACACAGGTTTTTGGTCCGCCATTCCTAAATGAAAGTCCGAAAGGTGATAAAATGCATATAAAAACACTCCTGAATGCCATAAAAACATTATGTCTATATTTCAAAGCGATCGGTGAAGAAGTTTTGGAGATTAATTAATTAATTAATTGGAGAAATTTGAACAAACGAACATTTACGTCTTTATTAATATAGATTAAAATATCTAAGCTATGAAGAAATCGATAGTTGATAATATCGTAGTGGATATTATCGATGATAAAATATCGATATTTTGATAATATCGGGTATCGATGGCCATACCTAGCTTGAAGGTACCCTGAGGATCAGTTCGATCTTTTCTTCTTATTTTCGTCAGAATTTCTATTCCAAGTTTGAATAGAACGTTTTTTGCCCGGGGTTGCATCAACAGCTCCAGAGGAGAAGCTTGTCCAATCGATTAACAACTGCAACAGTTTGCCTTTTCACTCGGGTTTCTTGATGTAACATCTTGCGCTCAAGCGTTATTGTGAGTTTCTATGCAAACTGTTGGCTGCGTTTTTTTCCTTAAAAGCCATTGGACTGTCTAAAAGTACTACGGTTCGGGATAGTTCTATAGTACTATCGATAGTTTTCACTTTGTATGACCTATCATAGTCATTCGACTATTGAAAGCAATAAAATTTTGAACCTGCGACTCCATAGGTGCAGACTTCGGGGAGGGGAAGGCCAAAAAACCTACCAATAAAAAAGATGAGGGACGAATAATATCGATTCGCACTCCCCCCTCCTAATCATTTGAAGTAAAAAAAGTTATATTGATAACAAATTTTTAGTGATAATAATTCATGTCATGTGGACTACTGAGATTCCACTATTACTACCATTTTCGTTTGATTTCTTTATAAATTTTCTGCGATAAAGTTGGAATAGATTCAGAAATATACATATATATAAGAATTATAGATATATTTTATAGAGTAGGTTTTATAGATACTTTTACATAACTAGTCAAACTGTTAAAACATTTTATTACATTCACTCACTATATATGAAATATATAGTCAAGGAAAGTATTGCGATCGTGAACATTTTGGAATCTCAGTTTTCAACGGAAATACACGTTTTGAGGTATCCTAACTCCAAATAACCAAGTCCCACGAAATGATCTCTGTATGTGTTTGTTTGTTAACTGTCTAGCTAAAAAATGAAAAGTCGTACAAAAGTGAAATTTCATATTTAAGGTTCTTATATGCCTTGGATGTCACAGCAACTTTTTCGTCAAAATCGTCAAACCGGAAGTGGCAGTTTATATAATAGATGAGACACACTTTTACGATTTCCTCGAAAACGGCTCTTACGATTTTGATTTAATTCATTACGTCAGTGTAAAATTAAGAAGTTTTTAATATAATGTAGGTTGATTCTCATTGATGTTCTCTAACAGAACTGAACTGGCTAATTTTCAATTTTAGCTTTCCCTAATATTGATTAATAAAAATATTAAAATTTGTATATATAAGAGTACTTAAACAAATAAACATACTACTTAAATATAAGTAAATATAGCTTCTATAATTTTTAATTTCATTTTCCCTTTGTCTGAAAATAGTTATTTCTCCTAAAAAGAGGGTGGTAAGTGAAATTTGTGTGATGCGCGCACCGCACCAGATTTTTTCTATTTGGAGGTTGTACAAACTAAGAACTCATTAGTATTTTTCAGTTTTTAAAACCATTAATTTTTAGCTGAATAAGCTCTAGAAATGTAACTATGTTATGGAGACTGTCCCCCTTCCTTCCATGTTTAATGCGAACAAATTGTTATATATCTAAATGGTTTGTTCAGACATTTTCAAGTATATCCATATACATATAAAAAATTCCTACAATTGTCCAAACACGTATATAAATTTATTTTTAAATATTCAATATTATATTTGTCCGTTTCACAATAATCATGTTGAATTTTTGCAAATAATCTGAACTACCGCTGTATTATTTTTTTTCCATCGCTCCCCTCCCCAATAGAAATGAAAGGTCTAGGTCAATGGTCGACTTTACTCAAATGAGCGTTACACAGCCGAGCGGACGCTCAGTATCAAATGGGCAGAGTTTCCCTTCTCTTTAAATATAGTTCACAATAGCTTCTTGAATCGAAAGTACTATATATATATTGTCGATATTATATATAGTATTGTCGAACTATCGATAATCGGAAAATCTGAACTACTTCAGCTCTACTAGTCACTTATTTTACTAAAGTTGAGGTTTTTTGAAAATCTTGTATTTTTGTAATTTAGATCGATTAAAATAAACTCCTGCTTTTTCTAAAATAAAAAATCTATTTTCACTATAAATGTTCATTGCCGCTAATTCTACCTTCATTTTCCTCGCATAGCCAATCCAGTGATTCATGCATTCCACCTATTCCCGATGAAGCCTAGAGGTCGGAAGCTCCGAAAACGGTAGTGCGTCGGTCCATGTCCTCTTGTTCTTCGGCACATGCTTTCGGGTTTCTAATTTTAGATTCTGGACAGGATCCTCCTTGGCAGCCCATACTAAGTACTGGAGGACCTGCGCCGGATGCGGAGGAAACGGGCGTTCCTTTGTGTTGTCAGCGTACCAGGATACTCCTTCAGGTATAAGGAAGATCTTGTAGGAACGATGGGTAAGTATTGCATTATAAGCGTACCGATTCCTTTGAACCCTATTTCAACATCTTGTGGAATACCTTTCAAATTCAATGATGATAAATATGTTTTTTCCAAGATACAAAGTTAGTAGAAGGAGGGCTCTTCAGACTAAAATCTTAACTTTCGGAGGGTCTGTTTAAAGATCAGATGCAAAATTGGATATATCATTACGAAATATACTGATTTCAAACTTTTATGAAATGCCATAAAATAAATTTATTTTAGAAAGATAAATATTGGTGTTTGTTGGAACAAGAACTACAAAGTCTGATAAATAACACGGATCTACTTATCGAGTAGGATTCAAAATTCAAAACAAAAATTGTATCCGTCATTTCCGGTGGTTCGAATGAGATTTAAAAAGAAACTTACATATATATTTTTCAGATTATTCGAAATATTAAAAAAAAATGCCAGGGACGCCATGACATAGTGTATAAAGAACTTTTCTCAAAAACATTAGTATAAATTCCATACTGTAGTTTTCATGTTACTGTTTCAATTTATATTGATTTGGCAAATAAGTCCTTTCGGCTTTTCAGGACGAAATAAAACTCAATGTATTATAGACATAAAATTTACTTTAATCAAAAATATATTGACCATTATTTAATATGACTTTTTTGCATATTTCCACTAACTGCATAATGTCATGTTCATAGAATGTCTGGAGTTTATTGTTAAAAAACTGATCCAAGTGGTTTTTGATGTCCTCTTTCTTATGGATTTTTTCTCCATACATGAAGTTCTGCAAGTGATAGTCACTTGGAGCTAGGTCTGGTGAATAGAAAGGGTGTGGCAAAAGGTCCCATCCAAGGCTCAATCATTTATTGCGAGTGACAAATGAGGTGAAGGGCCTAGCGTTGTCTTGGTGGAACACAACACCCTTCTGATCATTCATAACTCTTCAGGACGTTCTCCAAATGTTACTATATTCATTAGAAAGCTGAATTATTGCTCTTCAGAACCGTATGAATGGTTTTTTGATATAATGCTTACATAAGGAATAAATAAACAAAAACTCCTTATAGGTTTTTATTTTTTATCTCCATTTGTTCTTTGTTTACGAAAGTTCTGTTGATGTCATTTTGTGTAGTTTATGTGGCCCTAAATACCTGCCAAATTTCTTTTAGATAGCTAAAGTCGTATTGAAGTTATAATATTTTTTGTGATTTTCGAAAAAAAATCATGTATTGGACCCAAACATTAAGCTTGGAAACATAGGCGAGCTTGTGCAAATGGTTTTCTTATACACTTGCATGCGACACATTTAGGGCCATACCAATATCTCGCACTGATTGGGTGGGATTTTGATCAACAATGGCCTTAACATTGCCCGTTTTAATTTCATATGGGCGACCAGACCGTTGAGCATCATTGATGTCAAAATTTCCTGAATGAAATTTGGCAAACCATTTTTGACAGGCGCTCGTCCCCTCTCTCCACCCCATCTCCATAAACACTACAAATTTTTCTCTGAGCTTAATTTTAATTAAGCAGCAAGCTTAATTTTTTTAAAATAATACAACAAAATATGCCGATAATGAATGATATTTTCTTCCATATTCACAGTGCAATAGCAAACACAATACTATGATAGTTTCAACAGCAGTTAACAGATACAGTTGTTAACATATTACAAACAGGATAAACAATCCACCCTAGAGTACTATTCAAATCTTTACGTAAATTATTTTATAGAAATGCGTTATTTTCAAGTTATGCCTAATCAGGTTTTGAGAATTTTTGCTCAATCTTTATTATTTCTTTTTTCCCATAAAACAAAACTTTTGCTTCAATCTTCATAAATGTAAAGATATGTTGAAAACTGAGTAAAAAGTTTTATCCTTACTTAATCAAGTTAGGAACGTAGCAGAAAATAAATAAAATAATTCTAAAAAAATGAGACTGCTTATAAATTAATTGGTATTATGAACTAACCAAGGAGGCCGAATCACCATGAATTTTGAAAAGATATAATATATTGAAAATGGACGAAAATATTTAACTCCTTTTATCTAACAGATTTATAAATTGAAAAGAAAAGAGAAAAATGAATAAAAAGTTTCAATTTAAGGAGTTGAAAGATATACAGAGGACTTTGGAATAACGATATTTAAGAAAGATACATTTCAAATAGAATATAAGTGAAAGGTATATCTGATGGATCTCAAAAATAAATAGAAGGATTCAATTCAATATCCTATACCTCTTCTGCCTCTGGTTGATGGAAGATTGAGCGGTAGACAACCTAGTAGTATAGATTGGGTAGGCGAGTGTGGGTGGAAGCAGATTGGGAGGGTTGAAATGGAACTGATAGGTTTTTTTGGTTACATTACATTTCCAGGAAAGGGTTTTATAAAATAAGACATACGTTTTCACCGGAGGAACTGGGTTGGGAAATTGCGATATAAAAAGGGGAAATACATTTCAGATGAGACCAGGTACAATAACAACGGCTTTTTATGTATCGTTTTTATTTATTTATTGAATAATACAACATTCTGTTACTTGAACACTGATTATAGGGAGGTAAGATCACATTCACACTATTCGTAGTAAAAAAATAAAATAAACAGAAGCAGAATAATAATAAAAATATATATACAATAAATAATTTAAAGTGTATGTATAACAACTGAATAATAATCAAAATGTACATAAAAAAAAAACTTAAAGGAAGGATATAGTCCGGGATGGCGGTCATAAATGGGCTAAATAGTTTTACCACTATTTAGCCTATTTATGACCGCTACCCGGGACCATCTCCTTCCTTTATAATGCAACGGTCAACTATTTAATATTCAAAATAACTTAAAGATAAATAAGTTTTTAAAAAACCACATACATGCCTATATACACTAATTACAATCAGGCAAGGCAGTTGTGTCGCTCCAACTATGGAGGGAAAAGTAAGACCCCAGGAGATCCCTTCGCTTTTCTCTCAACAGCATCACTGTTATTAAAGCTAGTAGAGATTGATCCAGAGCAGTATTAATATGTATCTTTTTGTATTTATCTTTAACTTATATTTGTTATCTACAGATTTTGTAACCGTTATCTACTGACGTGTATCCTTTAATTTGTGAAGTCATGTATTTTTTTTTTTTTTACCTTTATCAGAACAATTTCTTTCCTACTATTTCTTATTATTTTATATTTTGTTTGTTTATTTTTATTTATTTATTTTTTAATTTGTTCTTAATCACTTTCATTTATGTTTCTTGTACGTATATATTGTAAGAATGGATACTTTTAGCTCTAAAGCTTATTGTCCTTGAGTGTGGAAGATCGTGTTAATATTCAATAAATAATAACAATTTTTTTTCCCTTATCTCCTAAGATCAGTGGTTTGGATTTTGAAATTTTTCTTTATGGGATGGTGTCGTCCCTTGTCCTGCAATGGTCGCAATATTTTTTAAGGGAGTTATGAGGAGTTTATGGTTTTAAAAATTGTTAGTCTAGTGATGGGGCTCACTACTTGTCTTGTGTCAGTACAGTTAGTAGTTTTCAGTCTAGTCAAGTCTGAGGCTTTTTGTAAGCGCTTGTCACCTCTGCGGTCGTCCCGTCGGAGGTAGTATCTTAAAAAGTGGGGCACACCCAGCATCTATAATGTGGATACCATTAATTAAATAATTAATTATTGGAAAACCCTGACGGTTGAGCGTGATCTTGGTCAAATCACCTCCTTGCACAAGTGGTCTCAAAGAAACAGTTCTTCCTTACAAAGTACTGAACCCAGGATCCTTCATTGGTTGTAGTGTTGCAGGTTTTTTTACTTAATTGAAACTTTTACTTGATTTACATACATATATAATTCTAGGACAATTAAGGATAAATACATGCTTCATGATATTGCATTTTACGTCAGAAAAATTATGAGAATATAGTACTTATAATTATGTAATATAATTATATTACAAAATATAGTTTTCCTTATAAATAAACCATAATTACGCGTTTATTGAAATAAGCCGTAATAAGCAGTTACTGATTTATTAGTTTTTTCATGTGTTTTTTTTTTCAAGATAGGTAATGCTATTGAGAACTAGAAATATTTAAATTTGTCTTATTAATCAGTTGCCTTTCACAACACACGATGAAACCTGGCAACTGATTTGCATATGTATTTTTTTACCATCTTACCAGATTTTTTACCATCCACTAGTTTATGTCAACATTCTTAACAGTATTGAGTTTCATTCGGGGACGGAAGACCCACGACAACTACACCAAGTTTAAATAATTGTATACGTCAATTTTCCTAGCATTCTACTAATACAGAGTGTTTAAATACATATGCAAATATATTATCTGGAGGATGAATGAATTATTTCTGTAGTCGGTTTAAAAAAAAATTAAATTATATATTTTTTCAGTTATATAACAACTATTTGGAATTAATGTAATTAGTTGACCCGTCCGAATAATTCGCAGAGTATATTGGCCAGTGAACAATTGACAATATAATAATGAAATAATGTTATAGTAACAGCTAATAGAGGAAATAATTTTCTTTTTCTCAGTTAAACGGCTGTAGACCAATCATAATAACGAACCAAAACATACATTACTTTACTATCTTGGCTAATAATGGTGCGATTTTGAAGATTTTTTTTTTTTTTTTTTTGTCGGGAATTTAGAATACTATCAAATAATCATGGGTCTAATCTAGTAAAAAATGTATGATTTTATTTTATTCGCAAATAAAGCTTTTTTTCATTCATAACTTTTTTATTGCAGTGTCGGGGGATTCATCGCTACTCCATGTAATTCTCTTTCGTTTGATTAACCTTTCATCAAAATCCATTTCTCCCGAGAGCCGAAAATGGGTTTCTGCGAAAAACTATATTCTTCTTCTTCTTCTTTAGTAGTACCTTCTTTAGAAGTACCCCGATCCAGGACTTCCAAGCCACCCGATCCTAATCATTGAATTGATGTACTTAACTTTCTTTTTACCAATCCTGGAGATGTGGTCCATCCATAACAATCTAGCTCTTCCTCGAGGACGCCCTCAAAAACTTCTTTGGATCCCGGTTCTCATCCATTCTGCATAGATGGCCAAAACATTCCCAACTGCCTATTTTCAACTGCTTCCCTCAAAGCTGACACTCCCAGGTCTCCTCGTATCCTTTCAGTCCTAACTCTGTCCCTTCTTGTTTTGCCTGCTATTCTCCGGGGGTACTTCATTTCTGCAGCAGTAGCTCTACTCAGTGGATGTCCAGCGGGACCCAGCTTTCACTTCTATAAATAAGGATAGATAAGTATATGGACTTAAAGATGTGTACACTTTTTTCCAATGCCCTTTTCCCCACCACTGTGCTGCATAGCTGGTAGTACATGCTGTTGGCTTTCCTAATTCTATTTCAGAGCTCTTGGTCATTTTCCCGTTTCTACTGGGCACTACTCCTAGAAAAGTGTACTACTGCGCGGTCTCCGAGGTTTTCCCTCCGCAGCGAACCAATACTTCCTCCTCTTCACGACCAATGTACATCACCTTGCTCTTTCCAACATTTAATATCAATATTTACGCCGTAAACCTATGACTTCCTGTCCTACAGTATCCTTCAACAATAGCCCTCTTATCTCTGTCGAAAAAATCCGATACTTAGGACTCCACCATGACAAACGACTCACTTGGAACCCCCATACCAGACTGAAGCGACAAGAAACTGCTCGACGTTTCCGCTTACTCCAACACTTACTAGACAAACGCTCTAAACTTCCATTAATTACAAACGACTCATATCCATGACTATAATAAGACCTATTTGGACTTATGGAGTTGAACTGTGGGGCTCCTCTAAACCATCGAAGTCCTCTCGTATCCAATCTTTACAATCCAAAATCCTTCGTAAAATCATCAATGCTCCTTACTTTGTCACAAATAAAATAATCCATAAAGACATCAATGTTCCATATGTTTCCGATTTGGCCGAATCCAGATAACCTATCCTTCCATAATAAACTTCATAACCATCCGAATCCTCTTGTTTCTAACCTTGCTTCCTCTTCGATTCCTGATAACCCTTTGAGGCGTCTGAAAAGAAGATGGCCTCGTGATCTCCTCATCTAGACAAACTATTAGAGTGCTACCAATGGGTAGTTTCTCAACAAGCGTGTTTCATGTTATTTTATTCCTCTGTACACATTTACTTGATGTATTCATACTAATACAGTTGTAAATATCATAATAAAAGTTTTAAAAAAAATATAAAAAAATATCAATATTTAAAAAGCTATATCAATATATAATATATGTCAGGGATATCCAAAAGGGGATTTCATGGCGCCATCAAAATGTTTGAGGAAGGGGGAATTTTATGTGGTTTTGAATGTTTGAGTGGAGCAAATTTCTACTAGATTATAGATTTTCGG